ATTTCAGGTTAGAGTTAAGAGTATAATTTTATTTTATTTTAGAGAAGAGTAGAACATTTTAATTCTAAAGCGGAGGGAAAGAAAGAAAAAGAGCGACAAAAATGTCATCCTCAAACTTTGTATATATAAGTGCAATTAATTTATATATACAATTCAAGCACGATGGCCATTTACTACACGCAAAACTCATAGCAAAATTGAGAGAGAGAGTGAGACTAGGTTTGGTTGTAGAGACGCGCACGCATCCGATAATATTCAATGTCTTGGGTCACTGCAATGCTTGGTAGTAATTAGCATGAACCTTCCACTCCAGTCTTCCGTTGAATGTCAACGCAGATCACAATCTACGAACAATTAATTATTGATTAGGGGTAGACTTGCACACGTGTTCAACACTAATCCCACATTTACATTTTGTATGTAGTATTAACGTGTTGATTTGGGGTGTGATGCATGTGCCTAATTAAGACTTATATATCATCGATCCATCGTGCTCTTCACTAGTTGAAGTTGAAGCTGTATAATTCGCAACGTCTGTTTCTTGAATATTCTTGAAGCAAACTCAGCCGCAGTTTGTGATTGCTTTCTTTGTGTGCGCGTTTGAAATTCATATGCATAATGCATGTTAATTATGAACTTAAAAATCCAAACATATATAACAAAAAAGAGATGAGATATTTATTCAAGAGAAACAGGTTGTTCGTTTTATTAAACATTTTTTCCTGGCACTGCTCTGCTGCTACTGCTTCTGCAGTTTTTCTTTGTGTGCTACTGCAGATGGTCCAATTTCATTAGTTAATGGCTTGTTGTTTTCAAAATGTAAGGCTCGCCCCACATGCAACAACAGGCTTGTTTTTAGCTTGCCCCCCAAAAAACCAAAAAAATTAAATTCAAAAAATAAATGCATTGCAATTTATAATAATTTGCATGTAATCATAATATTGAGCGATCGCTGGAGGAAAAGAAAAGGCATATTGGTTTGGGTGATGAGGGAGGGATCCCCTCCCCTCCCCTCCCCAGATGTTGCTTAAGATTAGATTTAATAATTATGTAATCTGATGAAACATTATTGCAATCATATCATAAAACAAAGTTAAAATCCCATAAAATTAAGTTTTCTTATTTAATATGTAAGGAATAAAAGCCGCCAAAAATTATCTTGAGAAAATGATTATTTCGAAAAATCATTTTTCATACTTAATCAATATTTTTACATAAAACAAATTTTCATGTATGATATGAATGCATGAAAGAACTTAAGATTAATCTAGATAAATAAAAACCTTAGATATTCAATTTCACAAAGAGTTTTTAGCTTTTTAAAATTACACATATGCTAAAAAATTCATGAATCCACCAATGGATACCCTCCCCAGATGTTGCTTAGATTTAATAAATATATGATCTGATTAAACATTATTGCAATCATATAACAAAGTTATAATTTTGGCTTTCGTCCAAAAAAAAAGTGATGACGTACAAGTCAGAAGACGTGATGTATAACAAATGAACAACACGACAAAAGTTTCAAAATTATTGCTACCTAATTAAACTAATTCTATTTCAAATACCAGAAGCTAGCAGGAATATTAATACAGCTTTCTCCACTCTCATCTCCCCCCCAATGAATCCATGATTATCTATCGATCTCAATATACACTGAAGATTCCATATAGTAAACCAAATTACAACAATTATTTGTTATAAAATAAATTTATCGGCCGGCCAGCGGTTTAACTGTCGCTTATAAGTTATATGCAAATGCATGCACCAAAGCTATAAACTATAAAATTCATTCTCCTACGTACTGATATATATATATTTCTACTAATTTTGTATCAAAACAGTGATGACGTACGCGCTGTGCAAGACAGATTCTCTCCTACTTATTATTATTGAGGAAAGTTTATGACAAGGAGATGAAGTCTAAGTTGAATAATGATTTTGTTTTTGTTTTTCACTGGAGATTTTTAAATGAAAAGCTGCATCCATCAGAATCAGATATATATATATATATATATATATATATTACAATTTACAACCTCACGGGTCACGTGAACATGAGAGCTCATATGCCACCATGTGAAAAGATACATCTGGACCCTTTCATGCCCGAGGCTAGCCTAGCTTGTGTTTTGTTTGGAATACAAGAGTACCATAACGTAAACTTTGGTATCATTTACAAAGTAGCGGAGAGGTTTAAGATCTTAGGGTCTTACAATTAATTCATGTGCATAATAATTAAATCATAATCGATCTATCCAACCTTAGGTTAAAGAATTATTTAACTTAAGTTTTGAATGAATATGATCCACAAAACAAAACTAGGGTTTTTGAATGAATGTGAGTTCCAGCGGCATTGGATTGGAAGCAAGTAATTGATCTCCACCGCGTCATTATTTGTTTTGTCCCTTTCGCATATGAATACAATTAGGTTATTTATTTACGCCAATTAATAATGAATGCAATTCCTTCAGATTCTGGGTAGAAACCCAATTGCTGCTGCGTACAAAATATATTCATTTTTATAATCGGGTTGGGACTGGGAGGTGAAAAGATTCAACAAGCACTCATCAGGTGGAATGGAAAGATGTATTCATAGGGGAAGTGGTCCAACTGGAAATTGAGAAAGTTCTGTTTCTTCTGTTTCTCCTGTTGCTGTCTTTGTTTGATGAGGGGGTGACACTGACATTATTAAAGCTGAAGCTGAAAGCCACAAGCCTACAATTACAAAACCAGATATCCACCACCACCATCACCACCATGTATATATATATATATATATATATTGTATTTTGTTGAAAGTGAAATTAAAATTACTTGGTCATGAGAATTCTGTATATTATTATTTGGGAAGACTAATAATTCGTGTAGTCTGTGGGTGGAGGAGACTGGGACAGGACAGGCACAAGTGGAATGGAGAAAGTTTGTCATGATATGCTGCCTACTGCCTGCTGCCTAGCTAGCGCTAACATTACCTTATCTTCAATCAATCAATATATCCTTCCTGTTACAAGCTCCAAGTGGTGGAGATAAGCTATCAAATTTGGCCACCCAATTCCAATTCCCTCACCCATAAAACAAAATGCTAGCTCTCACTTAATGATAGTTAATAGTAATAATAATAATATGATATGATGATAAAAGCCCCCACTTACCACCTCATCAAACTTCAAATCTTGAAATTACATATGGCAGCCACCCATCATCAATCCAATCAATTCCATAGAAAGGCACCACGTCACAATTATTACCATCAGGGGGGGTCATTGACTAATTAGTACTACTTAATTAGGATTTAGAAGGGGCCTAGCCTAGACTAGAAGCGCCTAAACCATTGTCCACTTTTGAATTATATTTGCCACGTCTCAAATGTTTGATGTTGACTGCTACAGCATGCCATGTCTGACGTCTTCTTACTTCAAAATTCAAACTTGAATGTTGGTTCTTGCTTTGCTGCCACAGTGGCACAGTGGCACAGTGGCACAGTGGCACTGGACTGGGCTCTGGAGCAAGCAAGACTCAAAAAGGCTGAAAACTCATCACTCAATATTGAAATTTTGGTTCCGTTTATATGTAAATGAAGAGGGGCCAGCTGAGCTGAGCTGAGCTGCTGCAAACCACACAGAAACAGGCAGGGTTTAAGAAAGATACAAGGATAAGGGTTATCCTTATTTAATTAGCATCCTTAAATGGTGATGGTGGTTTTTACATCATTTTCATTCGACTTGTGAACAAGATTTCATCCATTATCATATCCAACGTATCATTAAATGGTGGCTAGCTCTTGCGAGAATTGTGAGACTTTGATGTTATCTTCTTGATTTTAAAACATTGCATGCGCCAACTTTAAGAATCTTGTTTTTTTTCCTTCACTGGCATTATCGATCGAAAGGTATTGCCGACATTATTAGGGCACTCCAACAACAAATTGAAGAAATCTCTCACGCATCTGATCTGAGGTTTCTTCAATAATATTAATAACTTGGATGGCCCTATCTCCACGCGTCTCTTTCTCTCTGCCTCATTTTGACCTAATTAATTCACAAACTATACATTCCAAGTTCCAACCCCAAATATGTGATGCTCATCCAGAACCACCAGTCTCCCTTCTCCTTCAGCTCGTGGAATGTTGGATGTATATGATATATATTTATAGGGTCAACATTTTATTGTTTCTCTATAATATTTTGTTCATCTCTTTATTTGGTCACGGCTCACACACAATTACATAACTAAATGTTTTTCGATTTTCGAGAATCTTGACACGAACGGTCTTTGAGTTGGGACCTAATATCATACTAAAAATTGTGAAATTGATCAAATCGAGTAATTACCGCCGTACGAACATACCAACTGTGATTAGGGAGCACTAATTTCATATATAAGTTTAAAACAAACAAACAAATATAAGTCCCATCTTCCATTATATTATTCCTTTTGGTTTTTTTTTTTTTTTTTTTGGGTCAATGCGGAGCTTTCATTAGCAAACCTGGAGAGGGCCAGAACCACATACATATGGGGATGAAGCATCCACCAGGACAGCACAAGGAAACAGAAGTACTTTAATAAACAAGACAATCACAATAACTTCAGAAGGACGAAAGTCCAGCAGCAGGGGAAATAGCAAGGCCCCAGACAAAGAAGAAATGTGAAGAGCAAAAACACCATGAACTATGGAGGGCCAGGGAGGCCATCCATGGTAAGAACACCGACCAGAGAGGGAGGGGGTTGTGTAACCCAACAAAGCCTTTTGGTTAGTGTGTCGCTTTCTCGGTCGTGCTAGCCAAATAAAGGCTTTAAGCCACTAGGTCAATAAAGAATTAAAAAACCCGGACCAAAATTTAAAAATAAAAGAATTAAAAACCGTAGTAAGGTTTTCGGCCCTTGTCATGTTGCATCCTAATCGTTGTTAGGCCTGCAAAGGCATTCATAAGCCCACTGGGCTCTATCTCGCGCTGTCATTAAGCAAATTTGACACTTTTGGAACCCTAATTTCGAGCAAGTCAAAATTTCGTATGATAGAGACAAAAGATCCACTATCAAATTGCCCCACCTAGTCAGCGAACATCTTTTCTATGTAGTGTAATAACAATTCAACAACGAAAATTAAACAACTTGAATTAACTTCTGGGACCATGATCCCCTCCCTATTAAGTGTTGGCTGGCTCCATGTACTCTTCACTTGAGAGAGCTGATTAAGCGAGATCAATGGAGCAACTGGTCTACACTGAACGAGAGGAGTAAAATATTCCAGACTGACTATGCACAACAAAAGACACGGTTAGCACGGAAGTAAGAGATCATTAGGTTTTCGTTTGCCTGACAGGGAACTTGTCTTCAGCTTGCTTTAACCACATATAATTTGAAGCTTCAATCCACTGTGGATGGACCAAAAACTTCTTCTCTTTCACTGCCCAACGAGACTTCTCTGTTCCAGCGTCTGTTGAAACCACATGTGTCACAAACGGGTCCAATTCTGATGAACAACTGGCTCCCAACTGCTCTGCCATCTTCCACAGCTGATGATTCTCGGCCTGGAATTTTGAAGGAAAAACACGGCTGAAAACAATTTTACACCCCTTTAAGATTTCCTTCCGAAGAGTTTTCAACACCTACAAATAACATTCACAAGAATCCATATTAATAATCCTTGCAGACCTCCTGCATCGAAGTTGGATTGCGGTGAAAGCACCAGAAACAAATCACTCCAACAAAGATATATTCCAAATAAGCAGAAAAGAAAAGAGTATCAAGTTTTTGTGGTTCCTGAATAAAATTCTTCACCTGCCTCACATCTCTGTCAATAAGATTGTCCTTCGATTCCTACCAAATGGTTCACCAACAATTGATCAGCTCATAACAAAATGAAATTTATTATCATTATAGAGACAGGCAGCAGCGGTACTTACATAAAAGAACAGATTGTGGATTCGCTTAAGAACTTCCAGAACAGTTGCAAGAGCTCCTTCAGGCTCACTTTCATCACTCTTCAACTCTGAAAGAGACTTGCAATGGAACCCAAATTGGTGACAACTCGATCTAAAGAAATGATATCTTTCCATCAATATTAAATTGTCCTTGTGCTTTGTCCATGCCTACAATAACGGATAGCAACATTGATAACCCTTCAAAAGATAAACAACAGATTCAAAGACCATTAAATTCATAGCCAGCGTATCCAGACATAAAGAAGTCAAGGACGTCAGGTACTTACATTTTCTGTATCATCGAGGATCAAAGCAGCACTTTCATGCCCGAGCACAACATCTAGACCCTTTTGATGTTTTTGGGTGCCATCATCACGTGATATCACTCTATCACCAAAGTACTCTTTCCTGGGATCAAGCAGTTTAGCCATTTCCAGTGCATAGGCTCGTTCACCCATTGTGTATATGTACATCTCGAACATTTCGCTGGCCTCCTTTAAAAATTTCCTAACAAAGGGCCTCAACTTGGTCATCATATGCATAACGTCCACTCTGAAGAGGCTACCGTTTGAAACATCTACATGTAGCACAGTGGAGCGACAATTAAGTTGGGCAAAAACATAAGAGTATGCACATCCATGTACACACGATACTACGGTAAATGAATCAAGTCAAATAACACCTCATCAACCTTGTTTTAAGTCAGAAGCGTGCTACGGAAAATAAAACTAGGGAACCTCACTATAGTTTGCAAAGTCCAACAGGGACAAGAAACACCCCACAAAGAAAGGTGTATGCATTAATTGTGTTACAAAAGCAAAAACACATGAAGGGAAAACATTGGATACCTTGCAGAGAATCTGTTTGGCTGTGTAAATATTCTTCTTCGGCCGTCATATGATTCAGATGGGTGGAATTTAGCAGTGTGTGATCTAGATCAAGTACCAAGTAAAGTTTCTTAAGGTGTAACGATTTCTTAATGTCTGTGCTGCGTACCCGGTCAATTTCATCATTATTAAGCCAGAAGTCCTGCAGAAACATATAAATTCCAATTTATATCAATGTAAAAGAAGATAGCAACAGATCGAGTAGTCATTCTACATATAACTGAAAATGAAAACATGGAAAATTTATGTTTCTTTCCTAACAGTAAGTTTATCTTTTACATCAGGGATAGGTAATTCAAAAATTAAAAGAAAGAACTGACAGGAAATTAATAATGCCTCTACAAAACAAATTAATAGAAAACCATATGCATGTATACTACCATTATTTAAGCAAAAACATCCAAAATTCTTCTATCAACCAATTTGCCATCTAAAAGAGTACCTTGTGTATGTACCCAAGTGGCACACCAGACTTTTCATCCACCCTCTGGCCACAAACTATACACAAATCTTTTACTGAACCGGGATGAGTGCAGATATCCTTCTTTGGGGATGCTTCTGCACATAATAACATGATGAATACAATATTATGCACCTAAAGGCAAAAACAGGATGCTCACATCTATCCTCTGAGAATCCTTCAGCACGTAATAATTGCAACATTCTTATTCAATCCATACTTCTTCTAAAGACTCCACTTGTTTCTACATTAAAATTAAATAAATAAAAGCATTTCTGCAAAGCTTTTTCCATTTGAAACTTTTTCTCATGTTTGTTTGAGCAGAAACAAGAAAAAATGAGTATTCCCTTTAGTTTCTGAACAGCAATTTTAAGTTGGTCTTATGACCAGGCAGGGATTTGTTGTTTAAGACAGTTCACAGCATTTCACCCATTATTAGAAACCCTTCTTGCAGTGCAACGAGTTGAAAGGGTACAGAACATAGAACAAATCAAAACGCTATCCAACTGAGTTGAAAAAGTTACCTGAGTTTTCTTCTACAAATACTTGTGAAGTGGACCCATGAGTTTCCTCTATGCTTCCAAGATTCTCTACCTTGCGCCTTTTTGTACTGCAAGGTAATTCATAAGTTGCATCCAAGTAAAATTTTCGAACGCTAAATAAACTTTAACCTGCAGTTTTACAGAAAACTCATACTACATTAATCATAAAAGAAAGAAGATTTAAACACCTCCTCTCACTTCCATCATCGCTCTCATAATCAGCTTCTTCATCTGGTGAGGAATGCGAAGAACCAGAACCCAGTGCTCTCTCAAGAAACCCAGTAAAATCATCACTGCTAGACGAATGTACCGGAGATTCGGCAACACTCATCTAAATAAAACCCTTCACATATGTTAATCTCCAGATGGATTTGATGAGGGGAAATAATGCATGCAACAGAAGATGCACATAGAGACAACTTTACAAAGATATTAATCACTGAAAATGATGAAAACTCACATGCAGTAATGCTGGTGACTTAACCAGTGAAGCAATTTAAGCTAAGCTCAGAACGTTATAGCTAATTTGCATCCTTCAAAATTTTATGGGTTAAGTACAGACAGTGATTTCTCAGCTATTTAAAAGCAAAATATAATATGCATTGGCAATCCAGTCCCAACTATCTAGGAAAACATGGTCTCAACAACTTGCACCAAGACTAAGCTACTGGCATGTTCCAGAGTTTCAAGAAATATGCTATTTTTATTCGGAAATGAAGTGTTTCAGTATGTACTTGTTCATAGAATGATAATGTGCAAAATAGCTTAATAACTGCACCTTCTACTGCAGCAAGATTGGAAAGGGCATATGCTAGAGGGCAATGAGGCCATGCTACATAAAAATTTATTGTGGTATACACAAACCTCATCAATTGCAACAACTTTGGAAGTGAGAGTAAATGTTCTTATGGAGATTCAGAGCCAGTTAACAATATGTCAGCCTAGTTAACTATCATTCTAATCCTCAATTCTAAAGCTCTGTAGTAAATAGGCCTCAGGCCTCTCTGTAGTTAACATGCCTCAGAGAGGCAACGCCGATGAATCCACCAAGAAGAGTCTAGATTCTTCATATCATGATTACAATGTTAGTATCATGATAATCAAAGATTGATGACGGTGAAAAAAATCTGAGGATTGGAAATTATGAAGGTTTGTCAAATATTTAAGAGTGTTCTCAAACACGTCATCATTGATCAATAAATTGCATGTTCTAGCAATATTACTCGAGAAGAGTATATAAATAGCACATTTACTACTGTTCCTCAATAATTTCTTCAAGAAAAAATAAAACTTATAGAGCAGGTTATTGCCGCAGTTGTCCCCCACAGCTAAGCCTAGGTAGAGAAAAGTAGTTACTGAAAGTGTAGAGTACGGAAAAACCAATTTCATAAAATGTTTCTCCCCATTTTGTATTTTGATCAGTGAAGATCTTCTGCAAATTCCAAACCCTTCTATCAGAAGACAATCTACCGAAAGCAAAGGCATCTACTTGGGATTTGTTGGGGGGGGGGGGGGGGGG